ATATATATATATATATATATATATATATATATATATATATATATATATATATGTAATTACCATATTCTGCTTAGAAGCAACTTGAATAAAGGATCTCATTTCAAATTTGCAACTCAGGAACCGTCTAAATCGGAGCTGAATTCATGGCCAAACAGTGACAGGAGCCGCGGAAGGACGGCACTGGTTTGTACCGTTAGTGCTGCTCTCATCCAGTTCTCTGGAGTTGATACTGTTCAAGGCTGTGAACCCAAGGACAACCGCCCCAAGGATGCAGTTATCAAGAGGTAGCCGAGGGCAGCAGGGAGTCTGGGCAAGGAGACGTGTTCTGTGTCAGGCACTATCTCTGCGGCTTTGAGAATACCAGTACCCGTATCTTGCAGATAGGGAAGCAGAGGCTCAGGAAGACAGAACTTGCCTACTCACCCAGCTGGCCAGACCCCACGTCTCCCTGATGTCAAAGTTTATGCTGTTTTCACCGCGTGCATCTCACTCACAGCGCGCGAGAGAAAGCAAGCCGTAATGTGGGACTTGAAGAGAGCACAAACCAAAGCCACCGCCAGCGGAAGCAAGTGAGGGTCTCAAACATAAAGCAGGAGAGATTGGGAGGTGGGGGGGTGGACAGGGCAGCCCCAGACTTTGACTCCTGAGTAGCATTGCCAGATAAAATATAGGATACACACAACATTTGGGAATGTACTTATACTAAAAAATTATTCATTTGCTTATCTGAAATGCAAATTGAACCCGATGCTTTTCTCCCCCTAAACCTAACAACCGTCCTCCTGAGAGCCATTGGTGTCTGGTTGGTTTGAGTTGGAGGGAGGGCCTTGAAGTCGACCTTAAAGTAAATGTTTGATGACATCTATTGTATAAGCAGCAAGTACGAGATGAAACAGGATAGGACATTCTCAGACCTGGGGAGGATGGCTTTCTACGTGGGGAGCCAAGACTGTGCTTGTTTGGAAAGATGAATAACAATACAAAGCCATGTCAAAAATGTCCACGGGCACGCAGATCGCAGGGGATGTTGTTCAGATGCAGATCCTGACTCAGTAGTTCTGGGGCAGGGCCTGAGACTCTGCATTTCTAACGCACTCCCAGGTGGTCTGGGGCCACACTGAGAGAGATACTGGGGGTGTCCCTCCCCACGCGTAGATGGGTCTCTGGGGGTGTCATGCAGTTCAGTTAACTCCACCATCTCTTCCCGTCTGTGACTCTTCTGTCTGCTTGTTTGCACCCGACAGAACTCTTTATCACTACATAAAGCTACTCTCTATAATGCCTTCTGGGAAAACAAGTGCAACTAAACTATAGTTTTAAACTTGACCACAATGTCCTAAAAGGAAAATCAACTGAATTAACTAGATCATCGGGTTCTTTTTGCAATTGTAAAGGGACAACAGTGGGTGGGGGGGACATTTAGACTACCAGGAAATAGCGATTACTTCTAGGGATATGTTACAGCCCTGTGAAAAGCTAATCCCACTTAAAGTAAAAAAATTGAGAGTTCTCCATCCCCGATGGCCCGCCCTCCACTGCACCAGTTTCCTTGTTCTGCACCTTCTAATAACAATGCAAGTTCAACCCACCTCTTGACACTCCTCTGCTATTGAGATGAACAGAAGGGCCAAGTTTAAAAATGATTAAAATGGTAAAGTTTATGTTATGCCTATTTTACTACAAAACACACACGAGATATATATACAAACCAGAGGTATCTGTCATTTTACAAGAAGAATGCTCCTGACAGCTGGCTGACACACATCCAACCCTGGGGGAAATCTCTAAGAGAAGCTGTGATGAACTCAGAATCCAGGCTAGGAAAGTGGGGTGACGTTGAGCGCTAGCCTGACTCATGGAACTTAAACTCCATGTTCATCATCAGCATGCCCTAGGACAACTGCCCAACCTTTCACAGACTGGCAGAGAGAAGGAATGGTAGTATCTGTAGGCTCTGGGGGTAAGGAGATGGCTCCAGCTGACCCAAAGGCTGAGGTGATCAGATCTTGGCCCCCTGCCATCCATCAGGACATACAGGTTGGGTCACTCTGTGCCAGGGGCCCAGGATATCATGCTCGAGTGCCAAAACAGTCTGCATATAAAACTGTTCATTGAATTACAGCTTACTTTTGCATTAAACCCTACTTTCTTAAGATTATACCTCAAAGTCCTTAACTGACTTAGGGGCTTCTGAGATTTCCTCGGCAGTACTTGACAATCACTTCTTTTCCTCAAGGCCGGTGATCTAGAGGGAACAAGCACCTCTGACTTTGTCTTAACTTTTCTCCTTCCAGTCTGCGTGGAGAAACTCATGCAGCAACCCCATGTGTGGAGTCTAAAGGGAAGATTAATTATCACCATCAAGTTAGGAGGGGTCATTATGGGGCCACTGCCCAGGTTTTAATTCTTTGTTCACACATGCATACACAAACACACACACACACACTAACACACACAACAACACACAGGCTTTAACTGAAACGGAAGATTCATAGTCACCAAGAAAAGACATACTGCCCTAGTCGGTGTGGCTCGGGTGGCTGGAGCATTGTCCTGGGCACCTGGTCAGAGCACATACCCAGGTTGTGGGTTTGATCCCCAGTCGGGGCAGGTGTGCAAGAGGCAACCAATCGATGTTTCTCTCTCACATCGATGTTCCTCTCTTTCTTCCTTTCCTTTCCTCTCTCTCTAGAATCAGTGAAAAAACATGTCCTCAGGTGAGAATTTAAAAAAAAAGGAAGAAAAAAGAAATACTCATTTGCTAGAGTGCTGAACTCCTGACGTGGGAGGGCAGGCTGGTAACTGCTCTCCATCCAGTGTCTTCTGGAAGAGAGGACCCAGGCCTTCAAGGCCCCACCCCTCCGTCTCTATGGATAGATTGAGCTCACTGCCTTCCCTCACCCTTCTTTTTCTGTCCATGCTCCAGGCTCCCTGGTAACAAGAGAGCAGAAGTGGGGCCTTGAATGCTGCTAGATACTGTTGAGGTCCCTGAGCTCACTTCCTTGGGCACCCACAGTTATACAGTGGGCCCAATGAGAACCCCATAGGGAACAACAAATGGGTTAAAACTTACAAGAAAGACACCAAATCGTTCTTATGGGATTGTGGGACAATGAACCTGGCCTGCTGTGCCCTTGTCAGATGCCTCTGGGGGGTGCTTGGGGAGAGCGTGCCAGCTTGGGGCCAGGCCCAGACCTGGGCAAAGAGTGAGAACCTAGGAGGTGGTTGTTTTTAAAAACAGCCTGGGGAGTGGGGGGATTATTTTATTTTTCACTGTACAAGCCTTCTAAACTGTTTGAATTATTTACCAAGACCATGTGATTATAATACAAAGAACGGGCTTACGATTTTGAATCATTAAATACTAATTTACTTTTCCTTCTCCACTTAATTTCTATAAGGCCAGACTCTCGCTCCAGTGGAAGTCAGAGGAAAAAGTCATCCCACATGAGGGGGACAGGGTTTCCTCTGAGGAGTCTTTTCTACCTCTGTCATTCATCACGTGTGAGTTGGCCCTGGCTTTGTCAGGGTGGGAATGAGACGAGTGATGAACTAAACAGAATTCCCAAGCTGGTATTTGACCACGCTGGGAGCAGAAGCTCAGGTCCCTCGTGGGCAGGGAGGGGGTTGCTGAGTGGCCCAGCTTGTCATAATTCTGTTGAGCAGCCCATCTGAGGGGGGGAGGAAGACTGAATGGGGAGGTGGTGTAGGAGGTCATGTTCTGTGGTGGCCCTTAGGAAATGGCCTGAAGTCTGGTGGGACATGAAGTCATTTCATAAGCAAGGATGTGTACATGGATCCACGTTCAGAAACTGATCAAGCCTGGTGGGACATCCAGCAGCAGTGCAGAGCTGGTGGGATCCTGTACCCCAAGCCACTGGCATAAGCCCTGCTCCTGACCAGGGACCACCCACTGAGAACCACAGCTGTGCCTGTAACATCACCCTGAAGAGTCACCCCATCTCAAAGTCAACTCCCCATCCCCACCCTCGAAGTCAGCCCTCCACCCCCTACCAGAGCCCTGATGTGCAACTGAGCTTGCACAACTTGGGGACACAATAGTTAGCCCTAAAGAAAGTGTGTCAGGGCAAGGGAATCTTTGGGTCAATTTGTATAAATATTCATTGGTTATATCTTAATCTCAGCATTACTTGGAATTATTTCATCAAAGCAAACCGAGTCTTGGTGGCTATGTTAGGTGGAATAATTGTCTAATTGTACAAATTCTTTTGTGTGTGTGTATAGGTTTTTAAATCAGGGTCTGAAAATGGTGTTCCCAGGACATTCTCTGTCCCCTACACTTCCCCTTAGGATTTACTAGCATCACCCATCCTCTGCCTACAATTCGTCACTTGCAATTTTTTTTTATCCCAAGTACTCAGCATGGCGGGGTGGACTTGGCAGGGGGCAGGAGGGTGTTGGAAAGATCCTGCCCCACAAAGCTCTGCTCACCCTTCCCTCAGTAGTTCTGATCTGGATACAGACAGCAAGAGCAGGGAGCCATGTAGGCCACTGCCCTAAATATATCGGTCTCCTATTTATTTATACATTGATCTCAGAAAGGTGGTAACCATCATCCACAATTGACAAACTTAAACATTTTCATATATCAAAATGGTTTCATATTGCATTCAATCGTCATTTGCTGCTGTTGGCAATCTGACTTTGTTTTTTTCAGACATTTGATGCCTGGAATCTGCAGCAAGCTCCTGTACATGCCAATGCTGCGACTGCATGGTGGCTGTTCCCCATCGTGAGGCCGCTGCCGTTAGAAATGCAGAACGCGCCTGACCACCTCAACATAGTGGCTGTCCGGGGGCTGCTTCCTCTGGCTCCCAGGCTGCAGGAACTTCTTAATTGTAGGGATGTTGCTGATTCTTGTTTTAAATGCCTGGAATGAGAAACAGCAAACTCAGGGCCTCGGTAGCAGTCACAACCTTCAAGAAAAATCAAAACTTTGTCATTCAAGGAGGGTGTTTAGTCAGCAGCGTATGGAGCCCAGTGTGCTGCATCTGATGTTTCTCAGAAGGGTAATACAATGGCTGGTGTGTATAGCGTGCGTTAAATTATCTTAATAAATAAAAATCACTGTCACAATTAGTCAGTGCATGTTAAAAACTCAAAAAATACTTTAACCTATCAGTTCCTGATCTAAGAATTTATTATAAGGGAATAAGTAAGGGTGTTAGCAAAGCAATAGCTATCAGAATAGCTATGTTAGCACAGTGAAAAATTAAAAATAACCTATGTTTCCAAGGGGAAAAAAGATTCTATGAATTATGGTACACCTCTACAAGAAATGTAAGCCAGCAATTTAAAATGATGTTATATATATAAAAGGAAAGAGGAGGGTCCTTGTGTTCAAAGGAGAAAATCTCTAGAATGCACTGTTTAGGGTAAAACAAAGGCCAGGGCCTTGTGTAAGGAAAGTGGGGAGCCACAACTATATACTACTCATTTTTACTTGTATCTGCATAAATAGGAACAGTGGAAGGGTACACAGGAAATCAATAAAATCGATTATGGGAATGGGAAGGTGGGAGGGCAGTGATGGGAGTGAGATTTCTTAATTTATTCCTTTTTTATATAGTTCTGATTTTGCAAAGAGGTGTGACTCTGTTGCCTAATGAAAATAAAATAAAATGATATTGCAAAGGAATATTTGTTGGCATGTAAATATATTTATGATCATTGAAAAACTGTTAAAAGCAGGCCACAAAAAATATTTAGTATGAACCTATTTGGGGAGAAAAATGTAAAATAGTAGGATGTCTGATGCAGTAGCATTTGGATAATTAGATTTTTTCTAAAGTAGCTACATAAACTTGCATTTCTTTTATAATAAGAAAAATGCTGTTCCTAATTTATAAAATCTATGGTCACCTATTAGATAGAATGTTTCTAAGGAAATGGAACAGAGGCCAGGTAAGGTCTGGCAGTAGCAGTTTTCAGAGAAAGAGGTCAGAGGACTGGGGCAACGCAACCAGAGGTAAGCAGTGCCACCAAAGCAGGAGCTCTGAGCAACTGAGGGACTTTGTGGGGGCCCTGGCTTCCAGGGGACTAACAGGGAGCAGAGTCATTTGGTAGGAGCTGGGAGGAAAACAGCAAAGACAGACTTGTCATCTTTGCTCCATCAGGAAAAAACCACTCAAAGTACTAAACAAACAAACAAACAAACCAAAAAATAAAAAGCATTACAAAAATGAAAAACGCACTAAATGTTCATACTAGAAATCAAAATAATCTATTCTTTCTCCCTTAGTAAGATTTTATTTCCTAACGATCCTATAGTGTGAGCAGGAGAAAATTACAAACATGAATAAAATAATGATTTTTTAAAACAGTCTTCTTAAGTTTCCTTTGAGATTGACCTGGAGGCACATTTTGTTTCAATCTCTGTTTTTATTCATTCCCCGACCTCCATCCCCTGGGTTTTGCGTGGATGTTAACACACTACCTTTAGCAGAGGGAAGTCAGAAAGAACAGAAGCATTCAGTTCTTCCACCATTAAAATAGTTTCTAACAATTGTATGTCTGCCCAGCTGAATTTGTTGCCAACGAGGAAATCCTCTCCTTGGTCTTTCAAAATCTACAGAAAGAAAAACAACAAATACCAAATAATAGTAGAGACTACTATGCCTGGCTACACACTTACAAAGCATGTACAGATCAAATTTCCTGAAGAATGTTTTTCTTGATAATTCTCAAGAATGCTGGCAAGGACAGGATGAAACCAACACCCTTATACACTGCTGCAAATCACCACCATCTTTCGAGAAATTTGTCAGTGATTATCAGGGCATCTTGGGCAGTGAAGGGCCAGAACGGAGCTCTCTGTGATGAGACTAGAGCTGGTTAAGTAAAAGTGTACCCACCAGTATAGGGAGACACAAAGGTCATGATTAGCTAGAATCTCACTACTAGACCACAAGTACAAATAGGACCCAGTGGGATACAGAAACCCAAACCTGGTAAATAAAAAGAAAGTAACATCTATCCTACTTTCCTACAAAACTCATATCCCAGAGTAACCAAATATACTATGAGGGGAAGAGTCATTTTATAGAAAGGATTCTAGCTAATAAATGGAGAGCGACGGACAGGACTGGGATATCAACATTTGTACCCACTAATAAATCAGTGGGTCTAGGCATTGATCATAAATCACATTTAGTCGTAAGAACAGTGACAACCAGATAGCATGTGCCACACAACAGCACCGATGAGGTAGTCTGGCCAAAATACATCAAACCTGCACCTATCAAGCTTCTAATTCTAACTTCCAATTGACAGCAAATCTAGGGAATAAAGGAGTATGTTGTAGTTAGTAAAATCCAGACTGTGAGAAACTTGGCAAGATAAATGCAAGAGAAAAGAGGAGAGAAAGCGAGAAGAGGGAACTTGAAATTAAATGGGGCTTAAAATACTATGTAATTGACTATAATGAGTGAATTTGAGTTTGATCCTGATTTGAGCAAATGGATTATTTTAAATATTTTGGGATGTACTGGAGTAGGCCACACAGCTTTCAAAATCCAAAGTTGAGTTAACAACACCATAACTCAAACAATCATAACTAGCTTTTTTTAAAATGGGAGGCATTTCAACATCACTATGCATTGTCCCCGAATCAACAGGAACTTGCTTATCTGGTACTCTGAGGTTCTGGCAGAACGCTTCATTATCGTTTGGTCAATAATAAATCATTCTTTTTCTAAGACTGAATTATTCTGAATTATACCATAGAGTTATTTGCAAACCTTTATTTATAGAACTCTATGCTAACAAATCTTTAAAATGTGGCAGGCTGCCCTCTCAGTTTGGAACCTTACCAGATATACTGAGAAGACATTTGTAATTAGCATTTTCTCCAAAATGACCTCAGAAAAGTTGTAATTTTAAGAGGCTTTGTCCTTTGATTGAGGCATGATTAGCCTACAGTATTAAGCCTAAAAAACATCTGACACGCCTGGCGGTTGAGCATCCACCTGGGATCCAGGAGATCGCGGTTCGATTCCAGTCCGGGCACATGCCCAGGTTTCGGGCTTGATCCCCAGTGGGGGGCGTGCAGGAGGCAGCCGATCAATGACTCTCTCATCATTGATGTTTCTCTCTCTCTCCCCCTCCCTTCCTCTCTCTGAAATCAATAAAGATATATTAAAAACAAAAACAAAAAACACAACACATTGGAATCCTTATTAAAGTTTTAGTCCAAATGCAGGAAAGCTGTAACATGGTTTCTGTCTTTTCAGATACTCTTAAATATGCTTATCAGCAACTGGAAATGTGATGGTCCTGGAGTAGGAACGGGCTGTGCCCCAGCCGTCCCCCCCAGTCTCGCCCTTCCCTTCCCCATTTCCGCCTGGGATCAGAGGAGGATGGGAGGGTCCCCACAGATGTCAGCTCTGGCGCCTGCTGCCCTCCTGGCAAGATCTGAGCGCGCAGAGGTGGCAGGGGCATCTGGGCGCCTGCCCGCTGCGCCGCTGAGCCCACTAGGCTTGGATCCCTGCAGCCTACCTTTTCAAAGACCGGGAAATAACGGGTCTTAGCTTTTGTCAGGATTAAAGCTATGTTCTCCTCTCGTTCCTCTGGGGGCCTGAAAGCAATCGACATCATCATCGTCATGAGGTCCAGAGTGCCATCCACGTACATGTTGATCCTGTCAGAAAAACCAGTGTGATTCATTCCCAAAGGAAGCCTCGGGTATGAGTTTCCTAATCTGCAACTTCCACAAAGTAAATAGAAATTGGGGCAAATGACTTCTGATTCCCCCTCCCTCAGTTTCCATGCTCAGGAACGATTTCGAAAACCAGAAACAGCCAAGTCACCACGGTATAGTAGGGTCTCTGCAAATGTTTATTGAATAAAGGGACGTGTAAAAGAATTAATGAGTGCCGCTAAATTGAAATCTTCTGTAAATAAATACGTTATTATGAGTTTAAAGACCGAAATGAATGAAGTTTACCGACAGTGAAAAACAATTAGTACTAGGACCTTTTCACTTGGAAGATATATCATTTATCAGGTCTTCTGTTGACCTGGCAACCAAGAAAGAAGTTTACTTTCCTAGGCAGGTCAGACAAACAGCTTATTTCATTCTCTTTAAAAATTTTCTGTCATTGACACTTTTTTAGAAAGGTTATTAAAATTTAATAATAGTAGATATGTTACTATTATTTGTTGGCCTATTGGTACAGTCATGCCATGCTACTTATCTCTACAACTAGTTTGCATACTCATTAAGGGTTGTGTGCCTCTGTATCTCCCACTATCTGCTAATTGTCCAACAAATTTAATGATCTCCTTGGCCTTTATCTTTCTTTTAAAGTATATAAAAGAATAATTTACTTTCATTGTCCTATCTGAATTACAAATCCTTTTTCTTCCATGTTAGATTGTCATCTAGCCTGCTTGCTTTAGTCTATTATAGTATATGCCTAACCTGGAGTAAAGAATATTAACAATGCTATCTATAGCTTAGGACACATATTTTGGAAAAAAGACGTGGGTATTTAAAAAAAAATTAAATATGCATCGAAACAACAAGAAACAGACTGTTTTTGCGTGTTAGTACTTATTTACATTGTAATTAAAGGATTCTATTCATACGTTTGAAGTTGCTTCTCTTGCCGTATGCCTGCAGGATTGCAGGTTAGAATGACTAAGTCAGTTTTAAAGATGGAGCTATGGGAAAGTTGGGGTGAACTGCTTCTTTTTATGGACTTTGTTCACTTCTACGTTATGCTCTCTCCTTTTTCTGAACAATTGAGTTGGGCCCTTTCTCCTACCATATCTCTATGTTTATTGAACATCCCATCATTATCCATGCTTGTGGTGGTAAGATATAAGGGACCACTGAAAATGCTCCTTGACCCCAGATCCAGATAAAATTTTATAGTTGTGTTTGTTTTGTCTTAAGTCTACTTATCTCCTGTGAAATTAAAGCAATCATCCAAATAGCCACAAATATTCACCCTCCAATATTTGTGATAAAACTTGGCAGTTTCTTCCCTCAATAAATGAGGTCTGTTTCCTGGGCTGCCTTCATGACTTGCTTTGACTGATAGAATGGAGTGGAATTGGTAAGATACTAGCCTAGAACTTAAGAGGCCTTCTGTGCTTTCGCTCTCTCTCTCTCTCAGAACCCTGCCTCGCTGCGATAAGACAAGTACAAGATGAGAGGATGGGAGATACATGGCCCATTTGCCTCCCAATCAATAGTCAGCCAACACCCCAAACCAGAGTCTCCTGGCTGACTACTGGTTGACCACAAACATACGAGTGAGTCCAGCCAAGATAAGCCAAGCTAGGCCCAGATATGCCGACCACCCAGATGACTCATAGACTGGTGAATAGTAATAAATGCTTGCTGATTTACATCACTGGGCTTCAGGATGTGTTACACTGCATTATTTGTGGTAATAGATCATTGATACAATGGTCAATATTTATTTACTAAGTCACTCGTTTCCACCTTCATGTAGAATAGTTTACCAGGTCATTTTATGAGAAGATATTTTGTTAGAAGTGGGGAGAGAGTGTGAGAATGTTGAATGCGGACTGCTATGAGTAGTAAAAGGAGAAGCCTAGTGTATTTATTAAGAGTTAAGCATAAGTTATGCTGGGTGTGGCAAGAATACTTCTCCCCTTGGCTTCTCCCCTCAGTTCCCCTTGCCTTCTCCCCTCAGTCCAGGCTGAAAGGCTACACCTGAACCAGGTCTCAGTTGGTGCCTATAAAGCCTGGCTAAGAATCAAGTGCAAGCATGAGTCCTATGGTACCTGAGTGTCTCCTTCAGGTCCTTCCCATACAAGTTGTACTTGGCAGCCAGGTAGCTGAGGATGGCTCTGGTCTGTGTCAGCATCATCCCATCAATTTCAACCAGGGGCACTTGGCCAAAAAGCAGGCATCCATCTGTAGTTTGAGCAAAGAAAGGTTAAGATACTCTCCTTCTAGGGTTGTGGTAAGGCTGCAAAATTGTCCACTTCTAATTTCGTTGAATGATTTTTAGTTTTCATCCAAAGTGGTGAGCTAAAGACCCCAGTCAGAGGAAATGCCTACCAGTTCCTTAATGGATAATTTGAGATTTGCTTGATGGTTTCATGCATTTTTGTGTGTTGGTTAGTCATGATTATTTAGGACTTTCTACATTTACTATGACTGGTTCTCAAAGTTTAGCGTATAAGAATCACCTTGGGGAGGTGGGTTGTTAAAAATTCTCACCCCATCTCCCAGATATTCTAATTCAAGGGTGCAGTCTGAGAGTCTGAATTCTTTAACAAAGTACATCAGGTATCTCTCTAGGTCCACACAGTGTCAAGATGATGTGACAGTAAGAACCCCAGCAGACCCAGGTTTGAATGTCAACTTTAGCCCTTTCCGATCATATGACTTTAAGCAAATGACTTAGAGATTCAGATTCCTTTTCTATGAAACATAATAACATCTATCTAGCAGAATTTTGAAAGGATGAAATGAGGTGGTAACATTAGTAAAACACTGAACACTGTCAATAGTCGATGTTTAGTAAAATCTAATTTTCTTCTTTGTGAGTGACTGCCTAAATAAATAATGCATTTAAAGATGTACTACAAATAGTGCTCTTTGCATGGGGTCTTTAAGAAATGAATAGCCTTTAAATTTTATTTACACCTGTACATTCCTGAGATTAAAGAACTTGACTGTGAATAGGAACCAGACTTCACTAGTACATTAGCAAAGGCCACATATAATTTCCTCAATTTCACTACCTTCTCTATTTTACTTCGTGAGAGGCAGTAGAAGATGGTGGAGAGAACACTGGTGCAGAAACCTATAACATTGTTCCGGGAGCTGGTGTCCCTGTCTAGCTGATGACTCTAGACAAGCCTCTAACTTCTCTGAGCTTATTCTCTGATCTGTAACACTATCTGTCCTGCCCATCTTACTGAGTTCCTTTGAGTAAGAATAAGACCATGCTAGTAGCCAGGCTTTAGAAATATCAATACTGTTATTAATATTGCAAAACCTCAATTTCCTAAAAGTTCTACATTTGTTGGAGGAGCTTCTAAAGCTGGGCTCTGCTGCTTATGATGCAAATGTCTGTTAGAACCAGGAGCCGATGATCATCTTCTGAAGGATTAAAAAAAAATAAAAAATCTCATGTCAAGAGGGCAGAAAAGGATGGTTCAGATCATTCAGTGCAAGCCATTCATATTTTAGACAATGGCAGGGTGGAGGCCAAGTGAGGCACAGGTGACTTGCCCAAACTCACAGAGTAAGGAGCCAGCTGAGCCAGCAGAAGTGGGCCTCCTGATCCTGGCCCAGTGATCTTTCTGCTGTCCCTCTGTTCACAAATAGCAGGAATGGCCAGGAGGGTGTCCCAAGCACAATAGCAGCATCACAGACTCAAAGAGGGCTGGAGGATTTCAAGGACTCTTAGCGAGCACTCCTGCCAGAATGATCGTGGAAGAGATTATGGAGATACATTGATTTATTTATTTAATTCCTACTATGTACCATTGACTGTCCTTGTTCATGGTAAAGCAGGGCAGAAATAAAGAGGAAGAGGAGCTTCAGGGGCATTCCAGGTAATAAAGTTCCTGGACAAGAACTGGGAAAGGAGTGAGTGGGCCTTCCCCACTCAATAAGACCTAGCACATTGCAAACTATGACCATAGAGATTATTTTATTTTATGATAAAGAGGGTGCTTATGTCAACTATACTTTAATTAAAATTTTTTTTTAAAGACAGCGCCCAGAGAAGTTAAAGGACTTGCCCAAAGTCATACAGCTTGTAAATGGAAGTTCTGCTGACTACTGGTTGAATGTTTTCCTTAAAAAAATAATTTGTCACCATGGCCAGTGTGGCTCAGTTAGTTGCGCATCAGTCCTATGCACCGAAGAATTGCTGGTTTGATTCCTTGTCTGGGCTGGATCCCCAGTAGAGCGAGTGCAGGAGGCAGTCAATCAATGTTTCTCTCTCTCTCTCCCTCTCCCTTCCCCTCTTTCTAAAAAGAAAATCAATAAAACAACAATAATAATAAAAATAATTTGTCAGTTTCATGATTGTTTATCAGCAACAATGGGATAGCCAGGTCTCCTTAGATAAGAAAAATAACATTATGGCTGTTAGAAATTTGAAAGTACTAGTCTTTTCTCTCAGTGTGAGAAATTCTTCTGGGGAACTGTAAGGACTAAAGACATCTTCTTGGATCCAAGCTTAAACAAATTTGGATCTTTTCTATAGTCTTGATTCTAAAATTGTGACCTGATAAAATGGTTTCCATTAATCTGTTACAACCACCAAGAACAAATGGATATGAACCATGAGAACTAGAGAATATCTTAGGTCAAATTCCCCTTCTTTTCTTCTCCCTCCCTTCAGTACATTATTTAAGAATTCTTAAAGGATTCTTCAGTGGATGGGGAATTTTAACCAATTGGCACTGGTCACCCATGCTCATGCTGTCTTTTCTAACTGAGCTCTGGGTCATAACCTACTTGAAAAGCTTTTATGAAGGCTAAAGAGACAACACAGATGACAACTATAGCTCTGTGCCAGGGATACATTGAACAGGCAATCCATGTTAGCAGTCACACTGAGTGCCTCTTCTAATAGTTGTCATTCTAGAGTTCTGTGTTCTAGAATGAAGCGAATACTTCTAGAAACAACTTTCTATTTTTTTCCAATAAGATGAGATTGAACAAATCTGGACTCACCCTTCTGCAACTTCTCATATTGTTCTCTTGTCTCCAGAAATTCTTCTTCAAACTAGATAAAGGACAGAGACATTGCTATAATTTGAAGATCTTCAAAAAAAGAGAGAGAGAAAGAGAGACAGAGATGCTCACAGTATAAAATGCCCAATGGCTTCCAGAAAGAAAAGATGTGAGAGGAACACAAAGCTATCAACTACTACACAGTTGAAAATTCCCATAGACTCTATGTGTATTTGCTTAGTCCGGCCTGGGACTGGACCCCTTTTTGCTCTTGGCCTACTGAAAGCACATCTCACAGCCGCTAGTCATATTTTTCCTTTTCTTCACCTAGTTCTCCCTTCTCTTCAAACTCTTGTCTTTTTCTGCAACTTCCCCAACAATATCTCCTCTTCTGTGGCCTCTTTCCTTTCTCCTCTCTCTTCTGTGCTGTTCTCCCTCCACATCAAATTTCTCTTGGATACTCACATATTCAATGAAATAAGTACAAAGATCATTACTCAGGTGGAGCTGTCATCATTTATTGATGGCGTTTCTAAAGCTTTTGTGGGAGAGAGCGATCTGTTTGTCCCCCACACCCTGAGATGGGGGTAGGATAGGGTAACAGTGTTAGGGGGAAAGAGAGAGACAAGGAAGGTCAGGAGTCCTTGTTCTAAGGTGATGACACTGAAATAGGGAAAAGGAAGTCGACACCCGTGTGAAACCAAACAATTCCACTGTGAACATCTATGAGGAGTCAGTGGAGAGGGAACTCAGAGTTAAGAAAAGCCCCCCGTGGGGCAGACCCTTCAGAGGATTCAAGGGGAGACCAGGCTGCAGTGGGCCTAGGACTCTAGTTGGCAGCCACGGGCAGGGCGTGACTGAGGTGCTGAGGCAGAGCTGAAACGGCCCCCTGAAATCAGCTGCTCTCAGTGATAGAAATGACCCAGACGTGGGTCTCCTTTCTCTCATTTATCTTATGACCCACCAAGATCTTTCCTGCCCCTACAAAGCTTCCAGAAAACGTCCCTTGGGTTGGGCCTTCCCACCCCTGCTTAAACAGAGGGCTATGATCCCTTCTGCACCTCTTGCAAAGAGAAACAGTCACTATGACTTGAAGGCGCCTTCCTGAATTTTGGAGGGAGGAGGCTCACTGAGCCTCACCCAGATTACCCTCCTTCCCTTCCCCAGTCAGGGACCAACCTCCACTCCAGCCGCAGCCAGCAGCCAGCGGATCGACTCCATCCTGCCCCTGCCACGAAAGTACCAGAGCTTGGGTTTGGCTGCCATGACGCCTGGCTCAGAGTTTCCTGAAGGGCCAAATCAGAAAAATACGTTTAAAGAACAAACTAACACACACCCTATGGAGTATTTCTGTTTATAACAATTCCAAAGCAGGCAAAATTAAACTATTGTATAGGGATGCATACATAGTAGGTAAAACTATGAAGAAAAGCCAGAAAATAATGATCCCAGAAGCCGGATGGTGCTTACCTCTAGTGGGAGATGGAGGTTGTGATTGGGGGACCATGGGGCATCCTGGGATGCTAATAATGTTCTATTTCTTAAAATAGAACTAGTAATTAGCCTTTATAATTAGTCTTTTAACTACACTCTCCTATATATATATATGCATGCTCTATCTCACAATTTAAGGAAAAGGAAAGAACAAACTGTACATATCAAGGTATCAAGGCATCCTGTAGATTTGAGAGACTGCCTCTGGTATTTTAGAAAGAAAGGAACCAGAGGCCCAGCCGGCGTGGTTCAGCGGTTGAGCATCAACCTAGGATCCAGGAGATCTCAGTTCAATTCCTAGTCAGGGCACAAGCCCGGGTTGCAGGCTCCATCCCCAGTCAGGGGTGTGCAGGAGGCAGCCAATCACTGACTCTCATCATTGATGTTTCTCTCTCTCTCTCTCTCTCTTTCCCTTCCTCTCTCTGAAATCAATAAAAAAAATTTTTAAAAAAAAGAAAAGAAATGAACCAGGAGTTAATATGATGGTTTCATGAATGATCTTGCAAAAGATAATCTTTTCTAATTGTGGCAAAGAGCTGGGCTTGTTTGGACTGAAATGTCCGGTGGGAACTGAGGACTCTCATTTTTGTCACAGACCTTCCTGATGCTGGGACAAACACAAATGCAGACTCCACAGGACCAGGATTCTTATCCTTATCTGGCCAGCAAGGAGCTGGGTAAGCTCCCTAAACCTCGGTCTGCCTTCATGACCTCATCTATAATCGAGAAGAATTATACTAGGTGACCTGCCACCTTTTAAAGGAGGACATGGGGATAATGCAAGTGTTCCTAATAGCACTTTCTACCTCACTGTCACAGAGCCACAAGGCCTATTATGCTAGTGGCCCCTGTTTATGTTACAGGATTATTGAGATGATCAAATGAGATGAAATAAAGTGCTTTGAATATACTAAAGCTCTGTACCAACTTAGAGGATTGTTGGGTCTCAGTTTCCCACATTTGCCCCTCTGACCCCACATGCTTCAAGGAAACAGCAAAAATACCCACTGCGGGCACAGTGCCCCAGGCACCGTGGCTGGGAGGGTGCTCAGGGAGCACAGGGCGAGCCCATGGATGGGGAGGCTGACTTTAGGGGAGCCTGGCCACTGACTGTGGTCCTCACTGTTGTTCAGCCTTACCCACCTCTCTAAGCCTTAGTCTCCTGATCCTTCCAATGGGGTGTTGGTTGTACTGCCCACCTCAGAGGGTTATTATGAGGACCGAGGATTGAATAAAAGTGATAGGTGAAATACATGCCACAATACTGACCCGTATCAAGGGAAGTCCTTGCTTCTTTAAACAAATTATCCGTGGATTTAGCATTTTCTTAGAATTTCTTATGACAAGATAGGCTTGCCTATTAGTTTTACATGGGATTTATAAGTGTTTTATGCAAATGCAATTGATATTTGTAAAAGGGAGCTAAAACTTAGTGTGAATCTGACTCCATATTGTAATATAAGATGTTTAAAAAGTGAAATCTGGTGTGGCTTCTGCGTTTATTTTGTGACTGAGCAGAATGAGCATTTTCGTGGTTCGCTGTTAGACGAAAGCATAATTTAGAATTTTATGTAACAACTTTGTGCCCGCAGCTTCCCACACTTCACATTCTCAGGGCACATGGGAGATGGAAGGATGTGACTTTGGAACTCAGAGCTGGATTACAAGGGACAGGATCACTCCCCTCCCTGCCTTCACCTCCAAGCCTTAAACGGTGCGTAGGGAGCCCTAAAAACCCAGAGTTAGAATGAAGGAGACCCCACCTCAGATAAATAAGACTAAAGCTGGCAACCCTCCCTTCCTAGTCCAAGAGAAGGAAACTTTTTTCTCTAGTTGTTAATAACCAGCCACCACTACTTGAAAAAATCCCAACAAATGTAGGTGTGCCCCATAAATAAATAGCTGACTCTGGCCAACCACCACCATTCCTCACGGCTCAGCCTAGGCTGGCTCTGTGGCCTTCTAAATGGGATGAAGGAGAACTGAACTGGAGACTGTTAGAGGCTGGGCAGGACTTCAGCACCCACGTCCAATCCCTCCAGGAAGGGCTGTTCCTTCTAGAATGGCTGAGCACGGAGAAGGGGCCCAATACCTCTTATGATCTCACACCCCAAGAACCAGCTGAACTCTTCAATGCAAAATTCTAACAAGGGAAACTCCTGGATGGCGGGGGTGATGGTGTCGTTCTTCCATCTCCTATACAACCAACCCAGACACGTGGCAGCTGTCACCTCCATCTGCCACTTTGAGATATATACCAGTTCCTGAACTTGTCCAATGTCTGTGTCCAAGCTTTCATTCTTTCAGCATCAAACATTGATTGAACTCCTGCTAGGGATATAGTACTAGGTTAGGCCCTCCAGGCATACAAGAAAAATGACAAGTAGCTCCTGCCATCAAAAGCCTTATAAACCTATATCTAGTGATGGAAACATCCAGACTAACAAGAAGTCAGTCAGAATGAAATAGGTGTTTGCCCTGGCTGGTGCTGCTCTGTGGTTAGAGCGCTGCTCCACAAACCGAAGGTGGTTGTGGGTTTGATTCCTGGTCAAGGGCACATATCTGGGTTGCAGGTTCTATCCCCGGCTCTGGTCGGGTGCGTGTAGAAAGCAGCAATTGACGTGTTTCTCTCACGTCAATGTTTCTCTCTCTCTCCCTTTTTTTCTCCCTCCAACTCTCTCTCTAAAAATCATAAAAGGAAAAAATATCCTCTGGTGAGGATTTAAAAAAAAATAATGAAATAGGTGTTTAATAAAAATACAATATGGTATTACAGGAATTGAACAAAACCTTAAAGAATGGGTGTACGAAGTGGGCAAGGTTTACAGTTGTTCGTATGGGAAATAATACAATAACTAAGAAATAATAAGAATAAACTCTGTGTTTTGCATACTCACAACTGTAAACCTACTTTTGTCCCACCCTGTCTATAAGTATGTTTGTTTCTCTGAGCCCTACTCCTCCCTGCCCATGGCATTATAGGTTAGGGCCAAAACCAAGTCCTTTAGTCCTTTAAACTTGACCTCTAATGAATGTCAACAAAGATTAGGATAAATGATAGCTTAGTAATACAGAAGACCAAGTTTGCTTATGCTCCAAATAGAAAACCCAATTATTCTCATTGTTAAAAACGTACATGGTCAAAGCTGAAAGGAGCAGGTGCAATGGAAACATTCATTCCTCCCGTGGAAAACAAAGAGGCAGGGAACAAAGGAGCAGCGCTTTCTGGATTTCACCCAAGGTGCAAGTGCTCTGGGAAAAGCTGCTGGAAGAACCTGAGGCTTTGAGTCGAGTATAAACTCACTCCCATCTCTTCAAAGCGCATTCTTGTGCTGCTGATGTTGACCAACAGGTGCGTCCTGAACTCAACAACCCTGGAAGGCTCCCCACAGAGGTCTAACGACATTGGGAACTGAGACTCACCTGCCAGGTCTCACAAACATCGCCTGTGTGCAGCTTCACCTGCGATGAACAGTGGGGTGCATTTCCCCACCCAGAGCCCCAGGGACCCATGCCTAAGGCAGGTGAGCAGCAAGTAGCCATGATGCATGACAACCTTTGGATAGTCAGGGTGTGGTCCTTGGATAATAAATACACCCTAAATATTTTATAAAGTGGAACATGTATCTGAATTAGTCCCTGGGAACCAGCAGTAAAACCATATTTCAGCTCTACCTCTCACTTGATCTAGTTTTTTAACCTCTCGAAGCCTCACTTTCCTTATTTGTACAGCAAAGCTAATAGCTCCTAATTCATTTGGTTATGAGGTGGAAAGAAGCTAATGTGTGCAAATCACTGAACATAGTAAGGACTCAAAAATTACACACACACACACACACACACCTGCATGCAAGCACACATAGCATACACGTACCTGCATACATGCACACACATATATATACCTGTATGCGTGCACACACATAGCACACACACCTGCATGCATGCACATACAAGCACACACACACTTGCATGCATGCACGCACAAGCACATACATGCCTGTATCTCCACATTGCAGCAGCATTCACATATGCTTCTGAAAGGAGGGGAAGGCATTCTCTACTGATGTGTTGGGCCAGCAGCATCAGGTTCGCCGGGAGTGTGTTAGAAATGCAGAATCTCAGTCCCTGGGCTCAATCTATGAATCAAAGTCTGCATTTTTCACAACATCCTCAGGTAATTCACTTGTATATTTAAATCAAGTTTGAGAAGCCACCCAAGTCTAGAATGAAGACCCAACTAAACTGCACCTGGGACTCAGCGTTTGGCCCTAGGTCGTTCTTCCCAGGGACTGCTGGGCAGGCACAAATGGCAGAGCATGGTGTTTTAAAAGGCAGGGTGAGCGAATGGTGGTGTGCTGGAGTTGTGGGTGGCTCAGAATAGAGAAAGGAAAGGGCAGAGGGAATTTGAGAGAATTGTAAGTAAATTTCCCACATGGGTCATTTTTACTGATCCCCCTTCAAGAGAGGAATTCCTAGGATGAGAGCAAGGCCTCCTTCAATTCCCTATTTCAACAAAGTATCAGGTATGTAGGTCCCAGCCCTGGAGCAGGTCTGAAAGAAATGTCAGGTTTCTCAACTATAAAATGAAGAGCTGGTTCAGAATTAGGCAATCTCCTTCATTTCTTCCAGTTTTAACAATCCTTCTGCTCTTGTTTCTCTCCCCTCATTTTCATTCTTTGCCCTACACTCCTATCTGCTGAATACGTGCATCAGGAAAGCAGCCAATCTTTTTGGGGTGAAATTCTACTGACAATGTTAACAGCCATTCTGAATAATTTAGGCAAAACAACACACATTTTTCTCAATTATTTGAACAGTTAGGCAAAAAGCAGGCTTTTATTCACTTCTCTGGATCATGAACATTTTAAGGGGTTAATTTAAGAAGTTGCCAGTTTTAGCAGATGTTTTAGGTCAGAATACAAGATGTCAATTCTAAATCTATTATCAATAGAAATAGCCTTAACATTCACTTTGGCTTCTCCAATAGATCAGAATGTCCTATCTGCATTACAACCAGCAGATCAAAATCTGTAACTGAGACAAAAAACTCTCCCAGATAGCCCTGTATCCCCTGCAGAATTTTAATTTGCTAGTTTGGAAAGAGGTAGCCTCATCTTAGCTTTAAGTATATAATGCTTTGGAGCATAACCAAGACTTTCAGTCGAGCTTTAAAGTTTATCAGTTTTTGCTTGATTATGAATTATTATTTCTCTTCTATTTTGCTAATATATTATATAGTAGCAAACCACTTCATTAGTTGGATTTGACATATTATTTGGATTTTATCAAAGGGAAAGTCTTCTACATAAAACTAGCTCCTTTGAAAAAGGGCTCAAGTATTTATATGGAATTTTTAATACACAAACACAGCTGAACAACCTTCCTGGGTAGGGAGGGGGTGGGCTACTGAGAGCATAGGATGGTCAGGGAGGGAGCTCTATCTATTCCAAGCTCACATGCTCAGCAACTTCTCCAGAGAGCTTCACATTTCAGTTTCTGAACCTAAATTTCCTTTCCACGAATGTCTGATGGATTGATTCATGTTCCCCAAATTCACAAGAGGTTGGCTTATACCCCCAAGACTTACAAACTTCCCTAAATGGAAAATACAGCAAAGAAAGAGACTTCCATCTACTAGGTCATCAAGGCTTCTTTAGAAAGCAAGCCAAGTGAGCTACCACATGCCTGCTGCTGCTGTTTAAAGGCAGGGACAAGTCCTAGAAAAAATTGTGTCAGGGCTTGACTTAGAGACTCCTGCTTTTCAACTTGCAGTTCCCCGAGGCATAAGGACCCCAGAGGAAGACCCTGGTGGCAGATAGTTTTCTTCCAAGCATAGTGGAGTAGACACCCAGATGCAGGAGACTTGGTTTACCTGTTAGCACCCTGGCACAGAGTAGGTGGTGTCTGTGTTTTTTCAGCTATGTCAAAAAGATGAATTTGCTTAAGGTGGCAAAATGTAATAGCTCAAAAATGAATAAATGTTAAAGTTCTGCTAAGCCTGTGATGTCCATCAATCAACTGAAAAACACCACTCGGCTCTCACATGTCATGTGTGATGTGGATGTGGGGGATGCTAATGTCAGGTATTATGCCTATGGGGCACAGGCAGTGACAGTCTTTAAAAGGCCTTGTCTACCTGTAACTTGTTTTCATTTACATTTCTACTCTGCAGAAAAAAGGAAAAAAAAAATCCGTTCCTTTCATTTGACACAGGCAAGTTTAGAAAAATATAGGCATTAAATTAACCACCAAGTTAAAACAATTGCTGACTATAAGCTGCAAATTTGGCCACAATGTAACTATTCAACCCCAAGAAGAGTGTATAAAAACTTCACCACTGACCTTCTCTCTGTCTGGCTCCTGGCTCTGGTGCTGCTGGGAAATAAAGTGAAAGGTTTATAACCCTGATCTTTCCTGTTGCAAGCTCCGCCCACTCAAGGGATTGGCCAGGGAGTATTCCAGTTTGTGCATACCACCAGGGCTTCATTTTTTATCCACTGTTAGTGTATTTGGTGGCACACAGTTACCCAAGGAAGAAGAAACTGAGACTCCATTGGCTCACTCAACACAGACTGACTGAGTACCACCCTGTCCCACGCACTCTTTTCGGCCCCGGCTCTAGAACGGCGCGCTCAACAGACCCAACCCCTGCACCTGTGGTGCTTCCCTCCTACGTGGGGAAGACAGACAGTATAAACATATAAACAGATACCTGCAGTGTGTTCAGATAATAACAGCAACACTGTATGAGATGGTTATAGGTTAAGGATAAGTGAAGTCTATGACAGCATTGTTACAAGGGACAAGAGGGAGGAGCTGGGAATACTTTGTTATAAGGTACTTGCACTACCTGTAAAGCAGTAGAGTGTTATTTGAAAGTGATCTTTGTTTAGCTTAAATATATATTGCAAACTCTAGGACAACAATTAAACTTTTTTTAAAAATGAGCTACAATTGACGTGTTCAGAGAAAACGGAATCATAAAATGCTCAATTAAAACCAAAGAAGACAGAAAAAGAGGCGACGACCAAAGAAAAAGAAACAAAGAACAAGGGAAGCAAAGAGAAAACAGTTACAAACGTGGTAGATAGTAATTCAGCTGATAGTGGGGAAGGGCACATAATAAGAATAGAGCCACAGTTGTTTAATAATCATTCACCTTACAAACTATAGATAAGAGGTTTTCTTACAGACCCTGAGAAACCGGAGGATGAGACGAGGCTGTAAAAAGATAAGATGCCTCGGTGAGTCCACTACTCAGAAAAGAAATGCATTTTGAGAACAGACCAAGGACAGGACACCCTTTGATTTGGTTGCTGTGCCTGGACCCTGACCCCTCTGGGAGTTTGCTCAGGAACGCTAACCGTTCCCTGGTCCCAGGAGCGGGCTGGGCCGTTTGTAGTGTCACAGATTAGCCACCTGGTTATCAGACTTTGAGCTCCTGAAGGCCAGACTGCAGACCCGACCCTCCCTTTTCCCTGTTACACTTGCAGCTCGCAGCTGCATGCAGTTATCCTCTCCCTCCCTGGTATATAATCAGCCAACTGGTGAGGGGGGTCAGAGCAGAATTTCCGGGGTGACCGACCTCTCCCTCCTTTTGCTGGCATTATTGGAATAAATGCTCATATGTGAGTCAGCCCTGTCCCTGCTTAATTTGACTCAAGTAGTGACAGGCAGCCTTGGACCCCGTGTCTGGTTTCCCAACCACATCAGTAATGAATTTAAAAGTCGCCTTAAGTGCACCAATTAAAAGACAGAGGCTACGAGTGGACTAAAACAAGATTCAATTATGTTTTCTACAAGGAACCCACCTTAAAAGTAAAGACAATGATAGATTAAACAGATGAAATTGGCAGAGGTTGTCCCGTGCTCTGAAGAAAACAAAATAAGGGGATGAGAGAGAGGTGTGTGGGTGTGGGGGGAGTGCCACAGGCCTCCTGGCCAGAGGCAAGCCCTCGGGTGGGGACATTTGCGCTGATAGGACAAGAATAAAAAGCACATTCGATGAATAGGGAACAGCAGATAAAAGAGCCCACGATGGTTGCTGTTGCAGGCCCTAGCCCGTGGAAGTCACTTTCTGCTCTGTTGGGCCCCCCAGGAGGTTGGCGGTTATGGCCGGTCCCAGCCAGGCAGCAGGAGATCAGGTGTTCCCTGCGGCACCCCGTCTGCCAAAGCCTCTCTGAGTGGCTAATGCTGGGTCCCGGGCTCATTAAGTGCTGCACCTCTTCTTTCATCACAGATACCAGACACCAGAGCTTTTGTAACTGCCCCATTTATTCGTGGCTGTGCCCTTTAACCCCACGGGTTCACCTGCGGTGGATTCTAGACGTTGAGCCTCGTGTCACCCCTCTGCTCGTGTTCCCTGTCTCACGTGTTTGGGTCCAGCCCTGATGTTTTTGAGGATAAATGGCCCAGTGCCTGGCCTCCTGCTGTTACCACCAGGGCCTGGTGGCTCATGAAAATGGGCGGGAGGGGAAAGGTTTGAGACTAATGAACAGGAGTCTGGACCAAAAGGGGATTGGGACAAACTGGGAAATGCCACCTGAAGCAGGGTGGAGGAGGGGAACTAGTTTCAAGCATGGGAAGTGAACTGCACAATTTAAGGTCATGTAACCACAAGCAGGAAAGCCATGGGAATCTGTCTTCATTGGAAACAGCCTGGCCTCTTGTGTTTATTTTCTCTAATCCTCCAATTCAGTGCAGAAGCCAAACTTCCTCCCTGCTTGTTTCCTCAAAGGGCCAGCTTTGAGGGCCCCCTGGTGTCTAATAAGAGAATTAAAACCCAAAGAGCAATGTTTACAAAATGGCTTAAGGTTTACATAGCAGGCTCTTGATTAATATTGTCAGGCAATGGCACTGGAGAGTAAAATCACAAAATAGTCCAAATTTCCTGCCATCCCCCCAAACTCAATAATACAGACCCCTGGGTATTATCAAGTCCATGTCTAAATTAATCTCATGTGTAAATTAATCTTCAAACGAGTGTAAATGTTTCTCTTCCCGGAAGAGTTTGGAAGGAGCAGGCCAAAAGACCACCCTCACTCTGACACCAACTGCAAGTTCAACGGGGTGACCCCAAAAACACCCTCAGGCTCGACAATCCGCTCAAAGAACTCAAACAGAACTCACTGAAAGCTGTTGTACTCACGGCCATGGTTTATTACAGGGAGAGGATACAGGCGGAAACCAGCAGGGGAAGAGACCCACAGAGCAGAGTCCAGCAGGTTCCAAACATGAGCTTCCAGCTGTCCTCGCGGTAGAGTCGTGGACAAATTAACTCCTCCTGGCAATCACGTGTGACAATGGAGTATTGTCAACCAGGAAGCCCACCCAAGCCTTGAGTCCAGAGTTTTTATTTGGGCTCCATCATGTGGACATAACTGACTGCCCACGTGGCTGATCCAACTCCAGCCCCTCCAGCGTTAGGCTGACACCACAAGACCCAAAGTCCCCACCCTACAGGGCACTATTGGTGTGGCTCAAATCACACTTGTTACTGTCTGGTTGGCCCAAGGCCGCCGGGCAAACAAAGGCACTCCTCTCAGGCATGACATTCCAAGGGCTTTGACATCACCTCCCAGAAGCAAAGATCAGACCTATCTTTGGGAAGGGTGAGTGTTTTCATTACACACTCCCTCCTTTTCCTCTTTTTCTTGGCTCTCGCTCTCAGGATCCTGCCGGAACCTGGGCCTCTCCCTCAGAGGCAGCAGCCGGGGCCACCACTGCTCCTAGGGCCTGGCCCAGTGCTACATGTGTTACCAAGTCCTTGCCCGTCCAGAAATTCTAAATATTAGAGTGATGACAGTGTCTTCACACTATTAAAGCGAACACAAACAACCTGGGTGTCTGCACTTGGTTTTCCTCCAATAAAACACTAAGGCCCTTGCAATGATTGTGACAGGCATTAATGATAACCTCATGACTTTTTTTTTAACATCTAAGCAAAACCCTCTCCTGCAGTAAGGGATGAATGTGTCCCCGCTATGAGCCTTCCAAAATTACTTCTGCCGTTGACACATCTATCTCCCCTACTGTGTGGTCAATTTTCCTAGAGCAGGGGCTCTGTTCTAGGGTTCTGCCTCCTGGAACCCTGCTTGGCACATCATAGGTGCTCAATTAATATTTGAGCCATAAATCAACACATGTTTAAAGCAGTATGAATAAATCATCCTTTTAGTCTGAAATGCAAAAAACTCAAGCCTACAAATGAACATCTGGGTAATAAGATAAAAGTAATACACATTTATATTTTCTTATACATATACCAAATATAACTGGAAGGATTTACAAATGATAACTGTGTTTGCCTGTGGGGAGAATCAGGTAGTTGGGGGCAGGGCTAAAAAGAATACCTCCAACTATATGGCCTTTTATACTTTTTTGATTTTTGAACCATGTAACTGTATTACAGATTCCAAACAATTTCACTGAAAAATTCTAGAACAGGGCAATGATTTGTCAATTCTTTATTTTGGCTAATATCGACTGCATTCATTACTACCATGGACTTATAATAGCTCAGAGGAGAGATATTCACTAGATATTCTGTTTTTATAAAGACACTAAAAAATTAGGAAGAGACCAGATGGAGTTTAGAATGGGAGGAGAGGAGAAAAGCAGCTCAGGGGAAGAACATGAGGTCCTGCCCATTCCTGTTACCAGGAAATGAGTTCAGGCCAGATCTAAGTTAAATGCCAGACTCTCCAAAAAGGTTTTCAGAAAAAGATTCCATAACAATTATTCACTGGACAAAAACATGTCAATGTTTGTAGAAGAGATCTTGACAGGAAAGACCCAACTTAGGAACAACTATACATAGCACCACGACAGAGCTGGGATCACGGCAGCCTGGCATCGATTAAGATACAATTGTGGACACAGCGATCTCTAGGGGCAAGTTCTCACTCACAGACGCATGTGCTGTTTTATGGCATAAAGACGTTGTAGACGGTTCTCACGTAGATCTCATCGGGAGGAGGCTTCTTCTTGCTGCCAGGTTCAAGAAATTTCCTAATTGTGGGGACATTACTTATTTTCACTGTGTACTCCTGAAAAAGGGAAACACAGAAGTTCAAGGTTAACCACAAAGGTATGAGTTACTATGAAAATATGGTTGTTCAAAATGGCCCATCCATCCAGTTTGTTCAGTAAGTATTTACTATAGGGATCCAACCAGAACTGTAACGCAGCATCCACTCGGGTCTGATCTCCTGATAAGATTAGTTACAATCTCTGTCAACAACGGCAGGTATCTACACCAGGCTTTATGCAAATCTCACAGTTCATACCAAAGAGAGAGCAAAATTAAAAAGATACTTAAAATAGGATTATGATACTTGCTTAAAGAGAAAAAGGGTGGGGGAAGACTTGAGAAGTGCCTCAAATATATTGATCTGCTCAGAAAATACATGAGTAATTTAAATGAAAGTGCTTTAAAAAGTCATCAGAGGGTACAATTTAGATTTTCAGATTCAGCTTTCTTGGACTTTTCTTCACTCCTAACAGCAAATGAATCCTCTTTCTGGCTGTGTGTTGGAAATGGCCAGCTGCATTTTTTTGTAGCCTAGGGATCAGATACCAGAAATTTATGTAAACTGGAATGGAAGAAAAAAATCATATTTTTCATAGTTATATCTTACCAATTCTCAGTTACTGAGAAAAAAAGTCTACTTTGGCCCTAGCCGGGTAGCTAAGTTGATTGGAGCGTTGTCCTGTATACCAAAAGTTTGCAGGTTAGGTTCCCAGTCAGGGCACATTCCTAGGTTGGGGGTTGGCGCTCCAGTCAGGACGTGTAAGGGAGGCAACAGATAGATGTAATTAACTTTAAAAAAAAACATATCCTCAGGTGAAGATTTAAAAAAAGTCTACTTGATCCAGTAAAAATTTTGAATTCTATGAAGAAGTGTATATCCATCATATGTAATTATTCTAATAAAATCTTTCAAAGTAAAGAGGTCACTTATTTAAAAAGCTACTACTTATTAAACGTCAGTTATAAACAAAGCACAGCCTTAGGCATGCCCACACACACACACACACACACACACACACCATTAACACAGACTCTGTCAATGAATTCTATATAGATATGACATTCTCTTTTTATTACTTATTTGAACTATTTGTACTATCTAGTTTTGAATATCATTCCAATATTGAGAAGCTTATTCCATACGATTTATCATTTAAAAACTTATGTGGGGTTTATACTTACCATGTATAATAAAACTGTTGTGCCGCTTGACTTTTTCTAACTCTTTAATTAATGTAGAAATGACCCTTCAATTAAACTCAGATCTGATGATAGATTCTAAAGTCCTTTAATATTAATGTTTGATCTGATCAGAGATTAAAACTGTATTTACACCAATGTGCCTGGTGTTTAAAAACAAGTCGTTAGCATCATGGATGAAAATACCAGGAGGTCCCTGGGCTACTTCAAGGACCGATTGGTATTAAAGTCAAATTAAACAGCAATCATCTCTGTGCCTTCAAGAAGAAATGAACATATAACTATATGTTGAACTATAGAATGCCTATTTGCCTTGTTGAAGATTTTTATTCTCATTTTCTGGATATAGGCATTAAACTGGTTGTCTCATTAGTATATCAGAATGATGTTTACTGGACTTGGAAAAATTATTTTTAAAAAGACAAAAAACTTTGTGTTACTCTTGGGAGATGAAGTATGTCTCTCTCTTGGCCTTTGACCACTTGGTCAAAGATGTGTCAGTGTCATCTACATCTTGACAACCTTTCTCTAAAGGACCGGTTAGTAAATATTTTAGGCTTTGCAGGCCATACGTTATCTCTAACAGAATCACTCAGCTCTGCCGTGGTAGCACAGAAGCAGTGTAGACATACATAAATGAATGGGCCAATAAAACTTATCTATGGACACTGAAATTTGAACTTCATATAATTTCATGTGTCATGAAACATTATTACTCTTTTGGCATTTTCCCCCTAATGTTTAAAAATGTAAAAGCCATTCTTAGCTCAAGAGCTGTACAAAAACAGGTGGCAGGCCTGATTTAGCCTGGGGCGGGTGTCACAGTTTGCCAAACCCCAGTATAGAGGAAAGCCTATTGGACTTGCACATAAAAGGCTAAGGTCCTAGGCACAACTCGGGGATCCACTAGCGGGGCCATCTCAGCTGCTGACTTCTTTACCCTGGGTCTCTATTTCCTCATATGTATACTGAAGGCTGTGGAGGAGGTTAGTTTTTTTAAAGCCCTTTCTGCTTCAAAACTGTATGGTCAATCCTGCCAGAATAATAGTGAGGAATAGGCTGAGCCACACACAGGTCTTTCCTGGGAATTTCTGGGAAGGAGAATGGTGGGAGCTCTTTGGGATGATATTCAGGGTGCCTTTCATTTGCTCTCACCATGCAGGCCTGGACATTTCCAGCCTGAGGCCACATTATTTCTGAGACTGGGAGCCATGCCTTGGTGATGAGACTGTTTTTGAGGCTGAGGCTCACACATTCCTGTCAGTACATTCAGCAGGAACAGATGAGGAGCATCCTGCCCATGCAATTACTTTTTTCTTTTTTTAATATATTTTTATTGATTTCAGAGAGAGGAGAGAGGGAGAAAGAGATAAAAACATCAATGATGAGAGTCACTGATCTGCTGCCTCTTGCACGCCCCCTCTGGGTATCAAGCCCGCAACCCGGGCACGTGCTCTGCAGGGGAATCTGTTACCTCTTGTTTCACAGGTCGACGCTCAACCACTGAGCAACAACTGGCCGGGCCCATGCGATTACTTCTATGGCAAGTCCCTACTGGCTAACTGTATGAAGTTTTTTCCAAGAGTGTAGTTATGGAACAAAACTAAGATAAAACTTCTTTCACATGTAAATGACTTTTCATCTCTACAGATCTGGGGAGCAGAAAAACAATTTCAGGTCCGCATCTTCATTTCATTTTACCAACTAGAATCTAAAAAAGTTATACACACACACACAGCCAACCAATCAACAGACATCGAAGGAAGGCCTAAAAGTTCTGGGCCAATCTTCTAATATGCGGTTCCGTTTACCTGGAGGTGAGGAAATGAAGCCAGGATATTGGGAATTTTCTCCTCTAGAGCCAAAATGGTCTGGAGTAGAACGATGTCTGCAAGGCTCAGCTGATTCCCCACCAGGAACCTCTGCCCATGCTCCCTTAGGACCTGCAGGATACAAGTGTTGTGCATGGGTCACAGTACTCTACCCCGAGGAACTGACGAAGCTATTGGGTCGGTGCAGTATCTGAGAAGGGGTGAAGTATGGCCTTACCCTTTCATCTCTTTATTAATAGTATCAATGAAGAGGAAACTCCCTATATCAGAGTGCGTGTGCACAAAAGGTATAGAAATTAAAGCACCGTTAAATATCTGCTTTATATCAGAACGAACCACTGTAAAGGGGAAGGACATATTAATTCTGGACTTATGCTTTCAAAGGACACATCTATTCCATAAATACATCCACAGAAATGAATTAGCCCTCATGAATTCAGGAGGCTGGGGAGGAGGGGGAAGTGATGTAAGAAGTAACGATAGGTCCTCGCCAAGGAGTCCAATCTTGCTTGCTAATTGTTTGTACAAACATCAGCACTTGTAGTCATAAACTGGACATGACTATAAAAAAGCAGGCTTCCTTTCACATTTTCTAAGCCAGAGAAAATAAGAAGCATGAGAGTCCATCTGGACTCCCATGCTGAGAGTACCGTCCAGGTGCAAAGTCATAGGAATGGTAGAAGGGGAGATCCCCTTGGCAGCAAATTCTCGGATGCTCACGTGGGAAGATGCACGCACACGTGTGTGTGGTGTGTATGAGTGACAGGGACCCTGCATACCACTCTAAATCAAACACAGCCAGTGGCGCCAGAGTGGGGGAGCACAATGAATCCAGAATTTGTAGTCCAAGAGATGAATTCCATTCTCAGCTCTCCTCCTTGGGCACATCACCCAATCTCTCAGTGATTCTGCTTCGCTATGCATAAAAGAGGGGTAACCATTTTTAGCTCATGTGTTGGGTGCTGGGAGGAGCTGACATCATCTGGGCTACAGGGACATAAGAACCAGCGATGGCCTTTCCCCACAGTTCCTGCTCCTCCCTTGTCATGCCACATTTCTGCACTGCCATATTTTACATTCATGCAGTGCCTGTGGGCAAGAGAGCATGAAACCAAGTGACAGAAACCCCCAGGAGACACCTCCCCTTCTTAAATCTAATTCCACGAAGATGGCCAGAGGGCATTTGCCAGTTTCATATTTTTATATTGTCTTCTTTTATTTTTTAATTGAAACATTTAAAACACCTCTCAGCTGAGAAAAAGGAGTTTGACACTTAGAAAAGCAGACTACTAAGACGAGGTAAATATCAAAACAGAGAAGAGCAAAGGGAAGAGCAATAAAGGGCAATGGTTCTTCTCTCCACACTGAACTGTTATGTGGGATGCCTGATACATAACGCTGTTCAGCAATGTTTGTGGAGTGAAAGAATGAATGAATTACGGAGTTTCTGCTTTTCTGTACCTTACACAGGGCGGGCACCCGGTGAATGTAAGGAATCATGATGCACGCGAGTGGTGAGCCCAGGTTTTTCCAGACTCCTGAATAATGTGGTCCTCGTGGAGTCTGAGAGGCTCCGAGACATCCCGGTTTTGTGCCTCATGGCTACTGTCAGCTCTCAGGAGGCCAGCCGGGTCAGCCCAGCGGGGCTCAGACTTACACTGTCCTGAGCGGGAAGGGGCATTGGCGGCAGCTCCCTTGTGGTCTGGTTATGCTGTGTTCATAGGCTTCCCTGCCACCTACCTTTTCAAACACAGGGAAGTATCGCAGGATAGCCTTCTGGGCCATGCTAACCACTTCCTTCTGTTGCTCGTCTGGCTTTAGGAAAGGGTGCATGATAATCAGCTCCAGCAGGTCCAGCGTTCCCTCCACATACATGTCAATCCTTAAAACAAAAAGCAGGTTCCTTAGTTTCCCCTTCTGAGAACTCATCGGCTTCCACAACTAAGAATCCAAAGTGCTTTTTCTCTTAAGATCTTCTCTGGCAACTTAAGTACCAGGAAGCATCTATCTACACCTTTCTCGTAAGAGGAAAGATGCTACTTACAATCTGGAAAATTCCTTCAGAAAAATCTGTCACAAACCAGATAGCACAACAGTCATGATGGCCCTCTCCCCCCAGCCCCTACTCCTCCACTCTCACTCCACACCCATGAGCAGTGTGGGTGGAATTCCACATTTATAAAAAAAGAGTGGATATCGTTTCTGGAATGCTTGGTATGCATCAGGCATGGTGCTAAATACTCTGCATCTGTTATTTCACTGAATCCTATGACGTTATGAGGACTGCACTATTATTATCCCCACTGCACAGGAAGCTCATCAGGACTCCAGAGCTTAACACACTGCCTAGGGTCATGCATCCAGGAGGTAAAAGGACTGGGCTTTTGAGCTCAAATCATAACTCAAGGCACATTATCCCAGGCCTCGGATGTCACAGCAGCTTCCTACTCCTAATACTCAAGGGTAATAGATTTGCAAGAATGGTACGAAGTATTATGAAAGAGTTAAAAGATGTTGAACCCTGCAACCACCACACTCCAGATACAGGCTCCAGGATCTGAATTCGGTTCTTTTCTATCGTTTTACTCAGACTCTCCTTACTGACTTTGCAACTGGTCTTCATGACCTGCCAGGTTTTCATTCCCTGTTCACACTAGTGATACAAGACACAAAGTAGATGGGGGTGCTACAAGGACTGCAGATCAGCTAAAGCATCATAAGAGGGGCCACAGTACAGGGTTCTCTCCTTGAGGTCCTTGCCAAAGAGGTTGTGCTTGTCTGCGATGTAGTGGAGGATGCTTCGGGTCTGCACCAACTTCATGCCGTCAATTTCAACCATTGGCACTTGCTGGAATAGCAGGTGGTTACCTGGGAATGGAAGTCCAGAGTCAGAGGTGATCTCTTCCCTGCCCCCAACCCCTAAAAAAAGTGCTCTAGGGAATGAAAAGGAACAGTGGGGCCATAGCCTTAGGAAACGTGTAAAACTCCCTGATGACAGATAACTCAACTTCGTTTCGGCAGCAGATGTAGCCATAAAAGCAGCCTGAAAACTGCTTTGCTCTAAACTTCCCCCTTTCATTCTCACCCCTGGAAAAAGACCTACCCACGGTGATAAGGGGGTGGGAATTGAGGGAAGACATTTCTTCAGAGCTGTGGCCAGTAACAGTAGCTAGTAGCTGCACCTGTCTAGTTAAACCTAAATTTAAATTAATTAAAATTTGAAAAATTTAAAACTCAGTTCCTTAGTTATACCAGATGCATTTCAAGTGCTCGGTAGGCACAGATGGCTAGTGGCTCCCGCATTGGACAGTACAGAATGGAACATTTCCACCCCTGTAGAATATTCTCCTGACTGCAGTGCCTCAAGCAGCCCGATGATGAAGCCTAAATCACCAACTGCTACTCAGGTCCACTCGTGGGTGGGTTTTTCTCTTTCACAGCCATAGACACCTTACTACCAACCTCGCTGTCACTGGTTAAAAAGTAACCCACTACTTTCTTCAACAAGCCTTTTTCAAACACTTTCAAACCCCAGGGAGAGATGCAAGTATAGGGGTTCAAGGACTGGGGGCATGTGGGGGTCGAGGGGGGATGAGTGCTCAGTACCTGCCTCGTGAGGTCAGGCAGTGTCACGCGTGACAGGTGGCATTACAGCCTGTACAGCTGGTCCCTCTCAAGGGAGCCTTGACCTGGGCCCGAGGACCCCGCTGATGGTTGGGAGGGAGGCTGCTTACAGGGTCGCTAGGTATTTCTTATGGGATGTGGAGAGCGGAGGGCTGACCAGGAGGTCATGGGGCCTTTATTGCTTTCATTTGTCTGGTATGTACTTCGGTGATGCAGCCCCCCCTAAATGGGGACTTTTATCTGCATACTTGACACAGGCCTCGAGCCTCAGATAATTTGGAGGCTAAAAGAGGTGAGGCAAAGAGGAGAATTAGTGCTAGTTAATGTAGAGGAAGGAAGGGGGAGAAGGAGGTTGGACGGTGCAGGGGGAGGAGAAAGGGGCGGAGAAGGGCTATTTACTTGGAAGGCAGAAGGAGCTGCTCTCTCTCCCTGTAGCTCCCCTCTTACAGAAGAGCGATTTCCTGGCAGTCTCAGCTATTATTCCCTCGTGCTGGTCTGGTTTTAGGACACTGTTCTGAATGTTTAGTGTCTAGTGTCAGCAGCATCTTTGCCCTTCCGCATAAATATCAGTTGTTTTTAAAACAAATCAGCATGACCCGGGAATCGTCTCCTTCCCATAACTCACCATCCTGCAGCTTCTGCAACTGTTCTTTCGTTTCCAAAAACTCTTCATCAAACTAAATTTTAAAAAGAAAAGGCACATGTTATTACAGGTTCAGGACTGCAAATTCCAAGTTAAACTGCTGCAAAATCCGAGAGGAAGAGCACACTTAGCACCCACACCTTGGCTTCTCAAGATCACTGTGTGCTAAGAAACCAGGCTCCTGGGAGAAAAGGTTGATTCTGTCACGTCAGGCAGCAAGGACCAGCAAAGACTAATGAGCTGTGTCAAAGGCAAAGGCACTCAGGACCCTTCCTGAGGGTAATTCCCCAGCCAAATCTGGGACAATTCAAGCATCAAAAAGATTGATGTCAGTTATGGATTATAACACACACAACCAAAAAAAAACCTGTGTCCAGAAATGATGATACCAAAAACAAGAGAGAGAAAGCTCTATTTTTAAACAGCAGAATTAGTGCTAGTTAATGTAGAATTATTGCTAATTAATGATAAAATTAGAAAATTTGCAACTGACAATGTAATAATTGATTCTGATAAGGATCATAAAGGATGCTGAAATCATTGGGTCATGGGGCATAGACTAGTCACACAATCTCAAAGTATAACCCACAAGTTAATTATGACAAAGGAACAATGTACCTGGAGGTCTCACCATCTATTCAACCAAGCGGTCAAACTTAGCTGCCCACTGGGGGGTACTCAGAGATGTCCTGTGCTTGCTGCTGGGGCACAATGAGAAGATCACGTCTCATTGGCAGTGTGAAAACATTGCCAGAAACACTTAACCTGGAGCTAACTTCAAGGTGAAAACCAGGTGGAAATTCTGCAACATAAATGGCCTGGAGTCTTTCAAAGTGTCAAGGGCATGGGGAGAGAGAAAAAAGCAGATACTGTTCTAGATGAAAAGAGACTAACAACCAAATGCCTGAATTTTGATTAGATCCTGGATGGGGGTGGGTGCAGGGGGGCAGCTATAACTGCTACACAAATCTGTAAGTTAATATAGGCATGTGGAGGACAATAAGGATGGTATATTAGATATTGTAAACTTAGAATTTTCTTAGTTGTGACAGTGATACTGTGGTTATTAGAACAGTTTATTCTTAAGAGGAAGATATGTGCTGATGTCTGCACCTTACTTTCAACGGATTGAGGGAAATAAAAGCAGAGAGAGAGAAAGGGAGAAAGCAAATGTGGCAAACTGTTAACAATTAAATTTAGTTGAAAGGCATCCATGGTACTATTACAATTTTTCTGTAGGTTTGAAAGTTTTCAAATTAAAACATCAGGGGTGGGGGTGGGGGAGGGGTAAGAAATAGAGAGGAAATAAGTTCCTCTTCTCCTGATGGTACAAAATGTTCTAACACAGCTTCATGTCAGGAAGAGGCGGCCTCCTCCTACCGAGTCCCCAGATGGTTCCCCACTGGTGTCTGCCCTGTGCTGCTCCCAAGTCATCCAAGGGAGGGGCGAAGCTGACCGGCACAGAATCCGCAGTGCCCCCTTCCTCTGTCTCAACTAGCTGACCTGGGGGGAGAACTGGGACATGGGGTGTAGGCACAGTTTCCACTATTCTCCAGGGTCCTTGTGGTGTGAGGAGAGGGGCCTCAGTGCCCCTACAGACACTCTATCTGGTGCCTCAGGCCAAAAATGTTCTGGACATTTGTCCAAACATCCAACTGGTCAGATGTGGTGCAGGGGATGCTCCCTCCACACTACTGCTCTCAAAATTTTATGACCATGACCATTTAAAGCACAGGGGAAAGTAGGTGGGGGGTGGGGGTGGGGGGTGTCTGACCCCACTCCCACCTTCAGTAACTGAGACTAGAATTGTACATTTTAAAAATGAGTCCTTCTCAACGGTTCTGATCCTGATTTTGGACTTCTGGGACACGCACAATGTGTGCTCTCACTAGAAGAACTCGCTCGTGTTGAACTTTGTAAAGCTATTGGACAGTAAGATGAGACTGGCACCGGGAGGGTGCAACAGAGAAGGAAGGAAAAAGTCAAGCAGAGCTTAGGGGGACCTTGGCGACTCTAGTCCAAACCCGAGGCTGGGTTTCTGTCTACACAGTTGTCTTTGGGCAAATGGAGCCCCAGGCAGTGGAAAAGCAACATCCAGCACAGAGTAACGTCCAAGGACTTGAACCAGTGACTGAGATAGAGGACGCTGACTCCTGAAGTAGGACCCGCTGCCTTTCAGCAGGTTGCTACCTGGTTACTCAGATGTGTCTGCTGTGCCCGGCAGGCTCAACCCGATATTGTGACTCTGGGAATCACAAACTCATCCAGCGGTTGCCAGCTGGTCCCTCCTTATTGTTTCACATCTGTATGAGCACAAGCTTAGCTAAAAATGCCCTCTGGCAAAGACATGGGGATGCACTCTCTCCACCCCCCAAATATCACCTTTTGGGAATTGCTCCTGTAAACCACACGGTCAGCCCCAGTGAGGGAAGCCAGTCAAGCTCCCTCCACCCTGGTCAGAGTGGGGAGCCCAGGATCCACACTGGGCTAATTATTCTGCCCCACCTACCTGCCCACTGTGATTGGCCTAGGATAGGCAGGTGACTTGACCCGCACGCGTGTGCATGTGCATGTGCGCGTGTGTGTTGTTGTTGTTGCTGAACTTATCTAGGATTGGGTTTCCATTAATGAAGCCAAGAATGCTGACTCCTAGGAGAATAGGAGGGGCAGGGTAGAATGAAAACTGGGAAAAGAGAGGATGTGATGAAGGATTATACTACATACGCATAAAAGACATCCACTGCAAAACTTATTGAATAAACCAGAATTAAGTTCAGAAGCATACAAATGACATAAATAAGCAGACACGTTTAGGTGATGGAGCCAAGAATTTTTTACTCTCCCTCTTTACAGAATTAGAAAATACATCCTGAGACAACAGGGAATGAGGGAACTGTGCTTGGCAGGTCCCGTTGTAGGGGCAGTGCTCACTCGGGTTCAGCAATGCTGCCCTGTGCAAATGAGGGCCCAGTACCATTAGATCTTCTAGTTTCTCTAAAAGTCAGAAATCAGCATTCGTATATAAGAACGGTATCAACTAATGTAGAAATCCGTAAAACGCTGTGTGGGGAGTTATAATGGTATGCAAAAAAACCAAAACCCAAACTAAACAAACAGAACCCCAAACCCCAGACTCAACGACCTTCACTGGTCATCTTTGGAGGTTGCCAGGGTAACAATTCATTATTCTGAAAATTGATAAAGAGACCAAATCAAGCATTAATTTTGCCTTTCCTATATGAGCTGCACTTCAAAGTAATTAAATAGTTAACAAGTGAAAAAATGCTCTTTATAAGAGAATCACGGTTAATAGATTCAGGTGAAATGAAAGAAATAGAAAAATCTCCATTTTGTAACCCCTAGCAGTGGTGATCAACAGCTGCTAAAACCACTGTCTGAAAGGGTAATGGGGGAACTTTATAATGTGTGGATCAGGCTGACGTCACTGGAACACACTGATCAAGCTCCACACGGCTGAAAAGGAGACAGTCAGACATCATGCACCCTGATGGCGTATAACAGAAATATGCTCACAGAGTCTGGCAGGAAAAAAATGTAGTAAGAAAAAGAAGGAGCCTGGATTTGATCACAGCTCTGGATCCAACTAGTCATTTGCAGGAAATATAGAGAACAGAGAAACATGTTAAAATGAAAGTAAATCAGCCAAATGCAGAATGGGGGAGATTCTACAGGGCAGTTTCTTCCACAAATAAATGGCACTAAAACAAATGAAGACACTTAGCATCCAGATCTTGGCTGTTGATAGCATTTTCTAAGAAAAGGGATGAAGGCTCCTTGGAGAAATGCCTGATTCTAGGGCCAGGGCAAGGAAAATATAAGAGCCTGGAGCATCTTGTTGTGGCAGAAAGTAAGAAATTGATGAAGGGGAAGGAAAAAAAGAGAAAGGGGGTGGGGCTGTGTGGAAAGGACACAAGGGTAAACCTGAAGGAGTCCCAATGGCCAAAACTGCAACAGTTTGAGGAACAAAGTTAAATATTACTGGATTATAACCGGAAGTAAAAAGTAAATATACTTAAGTTCATACTGATATAAATAAATGATTTAATAAATAAATAAATGGAGGGGGGAAAGGCAAATTTCCCTTATATAAGAATTCTAAATGCAGATACTACCCCCTCCAGGAGGAGGAACTTAATTTTCATCATTTTGAGTGTGGGCTAAAAATGACTCACTTCTAAAGAGGGGAAAATGTCCACTTTACAAGAAACCTGGCAGACACCACTGTCACCAAGTGACCAAGGTGAATAGCACCAGTGATAATTCATGTTAATATCATGTAATCCCTGGATATGATGCAATGAAAAGGGCACTTCATCTCTGTGCTATTCTTTCCCTAAACCCCAGTCTAATCATGAGAAAAACATCAGACAAACCCAAACTGGAAGATGCTACAAAAACCCGACCAATTCTTTTAGAAACTGTCAAGATCATGAAATAAAGACTGAGAAACTGCCACAGATTGAGGGAGAATAAGAAAGCATATGACTAAATACAATGTTGGATCCTGGAACAGTAAATGGACATTAGTGGAATCATTAATTAAATTTGAATAGCCTGTAGGTTAACCATGCACCAATTTAATTTGTTAGCTGTGCCATGGTTATGTAAGATGTTCTCATTAGGGGAGCCTGACTGATGGTTATCTGGGAACACTGGGCACTATCTTTATAACTGTTCTATAAATCTAAAATCATTCCTAGAGTTTACTTTTTTAAAATGCAAAGAAAACTGTTAAAGATTTTTTAAATACTGAAGGAAATATACCCAAATGCAATGTGTGGGCCTGACTTAGATCCAGACTGGAATAAACTATGAAAAGACCAGTTTGAGAAATCAGGGTAGAGTGTTAGATGAAAATAAGGAATTGTTAATTTTGTAGGGTATAATAATGGTATTGTGGTTTTAAAATCCTCATCTTTTAGAGATAAAAACTGATGAAGTGATACAATGTTTGGATTTTGCTTTAAAATACTCCCACAAAACAAGTGGAGGGGAGGAGATAGATGAAACAAGAGCAGCATAAAGTTGATGATTTTAAAAATAATTTTATTGAATTTATTGGGGTGACACTGGATGATAAAATTATATAGGTTTCAAGTGTACAATTCTGTATATTGTATTGTGTGTTAACCACCCAAAGTCTAGTCTCCTGTCACCATTTATTTCCCCCTTTACTTTATTCTACCTCCCCCACCCACCTTTCCCTCTGGCAATCACCAAATAAAGTTAATGATTCTTAAAGCTGGGTGAAAAGTACACGGAATGCATGGCAATGCCCTCCCTGCCTCTGTTTCTACCTGAAAATCCCTGTAAGTAAGAAGCTGAAAGAACAGAACAAAACCACTGTGGGCCAAAGCATGCACACATGCAGACAAGAAATTCACGGAGACGTATGATTAACAAAGGTCTGGGGGTAACTGGCCAATTTCAGGCTCGTTCCTTTTCTCCTTAAAATAAATATTTCTTGGTGGTAGGTCAGAAGCCCACGGTTAAGTAAAAGTCAAAAGCAAAATGGAATTCCATCCACTACATACCATTCACAAAGGAAAAAAGAAACATGGAAAGGAAGGCATCTGACACCATGAAGCAAGGCTGTATCGCTCGCGGGAGGGGGCTAGCTCGGGTCTCCCCATTTATGTTTTCCTAAAGTCTCCAAGGCGGACACAAATGTGTTTAGAAACAGCGCAGAGGTACCTCCACTCCGGCGGCCGCAAGGACCCAGCGCACGGTCTCCATCCGGCCTCTCCCGTTGGGATAGTGGAGCTTGGGCTTCTTCTCGGCCATGGCGGCCCCTCGGGCTTTCTGAAAAACACGCGCAGCTCCTCCTCCGTCGGGTGGCCAACCCCGTGCCCGGGGGGCTCAATGAATATGCAACGACCGGGGCCCAGGAAACCGGTTAGGTTTCCCCTGCGTTTCACTTATTAAACCCTCCCACCACTTTAAAAACATTAAAACGAAACCAAAAAAAAAAAAATCTTGGCTCTTTTTCTTGGTTTATATTTATTTCTTATTCCGGATCTTGGGAAGCTGCGGCCATGTGTTGTACAGACATTAGTGATAGGTTCAGATCATCGTATACTCCGACTTTGAAAAAAACCTTAGATTTCCCAAACTCGGCCCGCAGAGGCCAGACGCGGAGGGGTCGCGGCGGATCCCACGGCCCGCGCGTCCGGAGGAGTCACCCTCGCACACGCATCGGTATTGGATCACCGCAGGAACCGCAGGGCGGCCGGGCAGCGTTATTACGAAACGCGCGTCCAGCGTCACGCGTGCGGTAGCGGCCCCGGGGGTCCAGCAGGACCCCGCCCCCGCTGGGAG